TGATGTGGGAGAGTCCTCAGGTGGTGGGGAGAGGGGAGATTCCTCAGGTGGTGGGGACAGCCGTGAGACCTCAGGCAGGGGAGATAAGTGTGACAGGACAGGCAGAGGGGAGAAGCGTGACACTTCAGGTGGGGGGGACATAGGTGAGTCTTCAGGTGGGGGAGACATGGGTGAGTCCTCAGGGGGTGGGGACAGGCGTGATGCCTCCGGAGGTGGGGACAGAGGAGACTCTTCAGGTGGAGGAGACAGAGGAGACTCTTCAAATGGTGGGAACAGACGAGATGCCTCGGGTGGAGGGGACATGGGTGACTCTTCAGGTGGAGGGGACATGGGTGACTCTTCAGGCGGTGGAGATAGGCGAGATGCTTCAGGTGGTGGGGAAGTGGGCAATTCCTCAGGTGGAGGGGACAGAGGAGATTCCTCAAATGGTGGAGACAGGAGTGAGGCTTCAGGAGGTGGGGACAGGGGCGTCTCTAATGCTGGAGAGCAGGCTGACTCCTCCAGTGGAGAAAAAGGTGATGATTCAGGTGGGGGAGACAAAGGAGACTCCTCAGTCGGTGGGGACAGGTGTGATGTCTCAGGTAGCATGGATTCAGGTGATTCCTCAGGTGGTGGGGACAGGCGTGAGGCCTCAGGTGGTGGAGATGTAGGGGATTCCTCAGGTGGTGGGGACAGGGGTGACTCCTCTGGCGGAGGCAGCAGTGGCATCTCCTCATTTAGGGGAGCCTCCAACTGGGCTTCAAGCTGGGTCCCTGCTCTCCCTGTAGACATAACACAGTCTATTCCCACCTAGCTCAGATCCTAACTCCACAAAGAGTGCAGGGTCTGGAGAAAGCAAACTCTGCCTCTGCCACACAACAAAAGAGTAATTTCAGGGACCTTTAAACCCTACTCACCTAGTGGTTTGGCTTCACATTGCAGGGGCCCCGGTTCCTTGGGTTGCATAGAGGTCACGTGCCCACCCTTTGGCTGCCCTTGGCATGCAACGTATAGAGCATCGGGCTCATCAGTGGGGATATCACCAGGCTCTGGGGGTGAAAATCTGCAGAGGGTACAGGGGAGCAGGCACTGTGGGTCTCACCAGCTAACAACTCCTAGAGAGCATACTGGGGCAAGGCATAAATACTATGGATTGCACTACTGACTGCCCACTTTTAACATGGCCCCTGCCAGTCTCACCCCTTCTGATACCCCATCCCAATCGGTCTATACCACTTACCTGCTACAGACAGGTGGGCGCTGCTCAGCAACAGAAATGACAGGCTGACTTCCCTGGGTTTTATGACAACGGTGACAGAGTGAATAGTTCTCAAACCACTCAGAGTTTGGATTCAATTCTGCTGAGCCTGTCCCACAGGCCCGACATACCCGGCATGTCTAGGGGAAGCAAGCAGGCAAGACAGGCACTAGTCAAACCACAGTGGAAAACAAAGGAGTACACACGACTGGCAAATGCAAGGCAACTCTGGAGATGCTGAAGGAGTTGGCATCAGAAGACACTCACCGTACATTTCCATGAGTGAGCAGGCAGCTCCTCGATGGGTGGTTGCAAGCAGAAAGTATGATATCCTTTGTCACACGTCTCACAAACCAGCATCTTAGAATCATTACCAGGTTTCCTGAGGGGCACAGGACACATTACGGGATCCTTCCTAGTACCATTTTCTGCTCATACTTTGCATATGGCTACACTTCAGCCCTCACAGTTACCTGCAGGCTTGGCACTCTTTGCATTCAGGGCACTGCCAGCCAGCACGCTTGCGGGCAGTCAGAGCAGTGTCCAGACAGGCTCCATGATAGTGATGCCCACAGCTAGTGCAGAAGAAGAGGTCACAGAGCTCCCCCGGCCCCTCACACACTGCACAGCGAGCCTCCTCTGCAATAGGAAGAAAAAGACAGTGCAGGTCAGCTTTGGGGTGCCCATACCACTGAACACTGTGAAATATAACTACCATGCATTTGGTACAGAATGACTCTAAGTAATTTTAGATTTCAAGAATGCTTTATGGAGGACACTTGGCCCTTCATTTTCTCTGTATCCACAGAACAGGACTTCTCACCTAAATGTGCAGCCCCCTCTCTGTGGTCTGGGCAGAGCAGCCGCAGGGTTTTCATGGATAAGAAGGAACCACTGGCAGCTGCACAGGGAAAGTGGTAAAGCCGTGGACATCCAGGTGAGCGGCAGGGAATGGAGGCACCAAACCTGGTGCAGTGGGAGCAGCGCTGCAAGGGTGAGAAGAAGCCGCAGAGCCAGTCAGCTCTCTATAGGCCTCAGTGTGGCCCACTGTACCCTGCTCTCACCTATGCAACCGTCAGCTCAGCCCTACCTGGGAGATCCCTGAGAAGATGGCCTTGTCCACACCACATAGTTCTGCGCCCTCCTGCCCCCACACACCTGCTGACCACACGGCACACCAGTGATGTGCCCAGCAGTGCCCTTTAGAGGTGGAAAGGGGTAAAGAGAGGAACAAATTAACACAGTGACCAGGAGTTCAAGACTTCCCAGCCTCTACTTTGCTTCCAAGCCCACCTCTCTCACTTACCTCCAGGTTCTCCTAGGTGGGCAGGAGTAAGGCCCTCAGGGAAACCAATTTGTGACAGGTCCTCACTGAGCAGCACTGCTTCACAGGGCCCCAGGTTTCCCCCAGAGGACACCGCTGGAGACCGGGGCCAGTCAAATGGCAATTCAAAGCGCTGTAGCTCCCTCTGCCCATGCAGGCTTGGCTCCCCGCAGTTACAGAGAGCACACCGCCGTGCTGGACCCCCACTGTGGACACACAAACATCAGCACTATGCAGGCCTGATGACCACATGAGAGGCATGTGCATGCATCCTCTTCACTTCACTCCCCACAGCTTCTTCTGTAGAGCCTTAGACACACTAATCAAATCTTTATGTGCCCAGAAAGTCCCATTTCCACAGACAAGTTACCTGCAGTCATGAGGAGGCTTTTGAAGCCTGGGACTCCCAGAGCTGGGGACAGAGACCTCCCCAACACAAAGGTTAGGAAGGTCTGGCTCAGTGGCACCCGGCTCCTCAGAGGCTGCAGGTCCATCAGCTGAATAAACAGAACAGTACACATCAGCCTGACTTAAGACTCCCAAGTTCACTCATCAGATGCATGAAAATTATCTAAACCCTCAATAGCTCACAGTGGCATTGAAACTTTTGTCTCAAAGAACAACAAAGTTCTCCAATTTCCTGTCTATTACAGACTTAGCCAGGACTTGTGCCAGAACTAGACATAAAGGGTTACCCATGAGGAGCCAAAAGCTGTCGGCAAACTCAGAAATTGTCCTTACTCACCTGCCGGTTCTGAATCTTTATCTTCACCAGGCGGCTTCTGGCTGTCCATCCCTCTCTCCGACTGGGCAGGGCCCTCTCGGGGAGACCTGTTGGTGCCAAAAGATATTCGTATGTGCAGTAAACTTCTCCAATGAGCCTTTTCCCCATTATAAGAAATCAACTAATGGTAATCAGACACTTTAGACATCAGAGACAAACCTTGTCTTGCAAACTTCTATAGTAATGACAAGTAAAAGTATTCGAAATCGTATTCCACTACCAACCTCTTCCCCAAACACATACCTCCTCTCATCCTGATTCCTACTTTCCCACTTCCACCCTACTCTTTAACAGTTCCTACGGCAATCACATATAACTAAAAATACATCCAGTTACATTTAGTAGAATCCACTGTCTCATCTTAACTCCTGGGCCCTATTCCCTGGCCTTTATTCTCAGGTCTCAGGTTAGCTACTATCCTACAGTCCTGGAAGTAATCACTGGGTAATCATGACGCAGAAGTCTCAGTCATGCCAAAATCCCTCTCTCAAAAGGAAGAGTCCTAGGGCCTTGCAAGAGATTCAACACAGCACTAAACTAAAGGCTAGCTGTGAATGGATCTCCACTGCTTTCAACAAGGACATCCCAAACACAACAAACAGAACCCTCAGATGCCAGTCATGAGACTCAGGACCACCACTGGCCCCAGCCCTAAAGGAGCTCTGGGTCTCACTTAGCATGAAGGCCTCAGGTTGTTGCCCTTGGCAACGCCAACTGCCCTTCTTCCTTAGATGCTCTTAGTAGTTAACAGAAGTGGGCCTTAAGAGTTACTGAGCATGTGTAAGCAGACCTGGGGCTAAGCATGCTGGGAGTTGTAGTCTCAGGAAGCACATTGCTACTTGGAGGAGGGTTAAATGGGGCAGGACATAACAGAGCAGAATAGTTTCCTTCCTCTTAAGTCAAGCAGGGTTTCCAAATACTCGCAGTTAACGGTCCCTCTCTCCCTTCTCATAGAGTCCAGCATATATCAAAACCCAATGAAATATACAAATCTACACCTGAAAAGCTTAAGACCCACAGGACATTTGGTGAATTTTCCTTGACCTCTAAGGCAGCACAGTAAGTATTGCACAAAAGCCAAGAGGAGTCAAGAGTAAGAATTACAGAGATACTAGGCCTGGTGGCACATTCAATAATGCCATTTCTTGGGAGACAGAAACAGAGGGATCAATCCAAGTTGGAGGCCAGCCTGGTCTACACAGAGAGCTCCAAGCCAGTTAGAGCTACATAGTTAAACTGTTTAAACAGAAAAGAATTACCAGATTATAACTAGGAAAGAAACCCTACATAAGAAGGGTGAAAAGGATGAGTGCCTGCAGCTCTTGGTGAGAAGGGTGGGCCCTTTTCTTAATCAGATGGTGATGGTGAGGTGTAGAGAACCCAGAAAAAGAATTGCAAATACTAAAGGTCTGGGAAATTCATCTCCCATCATTCCCTCTCTTCTTGTGTAGCCAGTGATCACACCAACCTGGGTACAGATAATCCTGTCCTCTAACACTGGACAGCAAATATCCCGGTCAATCACTTGGGGGCCAAACAACAAGGGAAACACTCAGAGTGCCCACGATCAGAAATCAATTCCCCAGCTAGCATGGCATCAGATTTCCTTCCCTACATTCACAATTTCATTTCCAGCACTGGCAACACCCCGAGCCATGTCGAAGTAAAGGATGTTACCTTACTTTCCTCCTACCACTCGGGCCCCGCCAGGTCAGGGACTCAAGGCTTCATCTGACACCTATTGCCTCCATTCCCAAACCACCTTTTCCCAAACCTTACACACAGCAGTCCATTTAAAAGAAAGCAGGATGCTTATCTGGCCAGCTTACAGAAAAGTATTCTGAACTTCAAGAAGCCCTCACAAGTCACCTGTGGTAAGAGGGAACTGGAGGTCAAGACTCAAGTCAGGCCCCTCTTCCTACTCAGTGGTCACACCAAAGGTCCAAGAGGACTTCAAAATTTTCTAAATGTTTCCATCTTACCATATTTTCCTTACAGATCCTCCACCAACTCTGTTCTCAGAGTTGAGGCCAAAGGCGCCACAAACAGCAACAAATAGAAAGCAACAGTGATAATACAGTGGGTAGGAGGACCGCCTCACACAAGGCCAGAGGGACAAATTCCTCTGCCCTCCCCCAAGCACAGCTTTCTCAGGCTGGTAAAGCTAGCGCTGCCCAAGAAGGTACAGAAACTACCTTCTTCATCTAGCCTTGAGGAACAGAGCAGCAATGTCCTCCAAAGTAAGAGTCCCACTCATGGAGCTAGGGAGGGCGAAAGCCTCAACAGCAAGGAGCAAACTGTCCTTTTCTGTACCATAAAGAATCCAGGAGCATCTCCAAGAAGCTGAAACCTTAGACCCTGACTGCTCGAGCCTGAAGTCCAACCAACATCTATACCGAAATACCAAGCGCACAGCAATCAAGTCCCTGGAGGCATTTAAACAAATAAAGGCAAAGGTCCCCCACCCCACGTCCCATCATTCAGTCAGTAAACACAGGCACACACATATATCCCAAGGGGGTTTTCCCTGGATCGAAACTAGGCTAGTACCTGGGCCAGGCTTCCTCTGTTCTAGGAGCTGACACCTCTTACTTAGTCTTACATCTAAAAGGCCCAAACAACAAGAAAGAAGGCAGAGATTTACTCAGCTACTCTCCTTCCTGTGTTCACCCTAGACCAATAGATTTCACTCCATTTTCTCTGCAAGGGAGGAAATGGAGGCTTGGAGGGGTGAAAGGCTGGAGCAGGCCCTTGAGTGAACAGCTCTTCAGTGGGGCTCAGGACTTCCTGGTTCCCAGCTAGAGAATCAAACCACACCTCTCTCCACCCCCATTTTCGGGCAGTCCTCTAGGAAGGAGCCAAATGGTAACACATTGTCCCTGGGTCCGGTCAGCCTAGGGGGTAGTGAGAGCTAACAAGGTACAGTGCCACCTAAGAAAGTCATTGGCGAGTAGACAACAGGCACAGAGACCACAGGTGACAGCTCACCTCACTCCACCACCCCTGTGCCACCTCTCCGAAACCTTACTTTCCCCTTTCTGAGACAAGACTCAAGGAGATCTAGCAAATGTATTTTGGAGGGGGCGAAATGAGGGAGCCAAATCCCTGCTGGGCAGCATGACAGGTGTGAGAGAGGCTGTCCCAGCCCAGGGCCCAGAGGCTGAGGCGGGAGGTTCATGCTGCACCCTTACACACCCCTTCTCCCCAGCACCTCCTACCAGGGGTGGAAACACTGGCTTCCAGCAGAAAAGAGCACAAATAAAGTCATTTCTCCACCAAAGAGGTAAAGCCACCTTATTCTGCGGGGCTGGGAGAGCATCAGAGAACTATTTACCACTCAGTAGCCAGAAAAGCATTTTAGAGGTCTGGCAGGGGCCTTCGGGATCGGTCAGGGGCTCATGGACAGCTAACTCTCTACACTAGGCCCGGAGAAAGCAGGAGACAAAAGCCATTTTTTTGCAGCCCACATTCGTAGAGAACAAATCTCAACGGCCTCCTCTATAATCCCCTGGAGATTATGTCTATCCCGAGAGGAGGGGAGGCAAAGCAGGTTAACACACCACTAGGCCTTTCTGGGGTCACTTTGCCAGGCAGGGGTAGTTTAAAGTTGAACCAGCAAGGCCAGAGCTGCCCCAGCCCCACCTTCTTGCCCCAGCCACCCCTCTTCATCACACCAGTTTCCACCCACCCTCCCCCTGGTGAAGGACCCAAGGATCCTTGAGTTTCCCAGACTGTTGTGGGTGCCCGGCTAGGTAGGAACAATATTAAAGTCCAATCTGGCAGTAAGTCCGACCCGGCAGTGGCACCCCCACCCCAGGTTGATCTGTCCCAAGGAACCCTGGGGGTTGGGGGTGGGGGACAGCAGCCTGGGATTGGTTTTGGCCTCAGGGTCTGGGTCCTAGTTTGGTCGAACTCCCTCAACACAAAAATAAACAGGCAGAGAGAGAGAGGCTACCTGGACATGTTCCCAAACTCCTGTAGTTCCCTGAACCCCAAATCTTTAAAGAGGCACACCCCAAGAAACCAGGCCTCAGCTCTGCCTTGGTGGCTGGCTCAGGTTGCCTTGACAGACCCTGCCAAAGGAACCCTTCCCAACTCTGGCACCCCCTTCTCCAACCTAAAGGCCAGCACCGGCCAAGATAGTCCATCTGGCTGTGCCCCCAGTCCAACCCTTTCTGGGCCCAGGCTGGGCGGACTTCACTCACCTCTTCACAGGGCGATCCAGAAATCCTCATCCGAGAACATGGCCAGAGCCCGGGCCGCTCCCCGACCTCCAACCGCCAGAGCGATCACAGCCGCCCCCCACTCGGGGGGGCTTAAGGGGGCCAAGAACGGTAAATCCAGGTCGGAGTGGCCACCCTTTCCCCGGGGGAAAAAAAAAAAAAGCAAGAAGCCAAGAGGGGTTCTCTGCCTCGGGTTCCAGCAGTTTAGGTTTCCATGGACAGCCCCAGGGCGGCGAATCCCGAGCGGACACAAAGAGAGCACCGGTGGCTTTGATCTTGGGCGAGCAGGCTCCGCATCAGCGTCGCCGGGCGGCCTCCCAGTCCTAGGGCCCGGCCAGCGCCCCGGCCGCCCGCGCCGGGCTCGGGCGGAACGTCGAGGCTCTCCAGATGGAACGTCGAGGCGCCTCCCCAGCAGCCCGGAAGGAATGCCGCGCCGCGCCGCGCCGCGCGCCGGGCCCGGATGGAACGTGAGCCCCTCGCAGCCGCGCCGAGCCCCTCTCCCCGCCCGGCCGGCGCCCCGGGGCCGCGCGAGCTACGGCGACGCGGAGCCGGCGGGGCCGAACCTGACACACACCCAGCGCCGGGCTCCTCGACCCCGAGCGTCCCCCCTCGGCGGCTTCGAGCCCCCCACCTTCTGCTCCCCCCCGGGGAAGGGAGGAGGGTTGGTGGGCGAGGAAGAGGAAGGGGCGGGCGGTGCGAGCCCTCTGCCCGCTCCCCTCCGGCCGCTCCAGGCCCAGCGCTCGCCTCCCTTCCCCTCTGGCCTCGGGAGCTGCCCCGCCCCCGGCCTGGCCGGCTGTAGTCCGCAGCACCCCCTAGACCCCCGGCAGGCTACGATCGCGGGGGGTCTAGAGGTGCATGGTCCAGCCCCGGCTCCCGGCGCCGGGGGGTCAGGAAACTGAGCGGAAAGTGGGGAACGAGGCAGCCATTTGCAACCGGAGAGGAAAGTAGTGCAGCGCGGCGCCGCTCCGCCTCCCCCCCTCCGCCTCCTGCTCGGCCGGTAGGGTGGTTCCTGCGAAGAGCCTGTTTCCTCGCCAGAGATCTGGGCAGCGGTCGTAGAGACTCGAGGAGCGTCCGGAGCGAGGTCCAGGGGGTGCCTTTTGCCGGGGAACCCCACTCAAGAAGGGGAGAAAGGAGAAGAGGAGGCCCTATTTTGTGTTGGAGCGGGGCGGCGGAGGGGTACAACCCTCTCGGAGGAAAGGCTGTGACTCTGCAGTTCTACGCACACGCTCCAGGATCCTTCCGCCGCAGGTTAACCCCTACTGCGCCAGGCTGGCCGCCGGGCAGACACGTGGGAATTAAGCCCCCCACTTCTTCGCCGCGGCTCAGGAACTGCCTCCTTTACCTCCTGGGTGGTGAAATTGGGAGTTTAGCCACTTCTTAATTCTGTTTCCTAAAGTCATTGGCCCTTGAAACTCCTTGTTTTGGCTGGGGACAATCTTTGCCATGGGGTGGGGGGGAATGGAAAAAGAGCCTCGAGATTGGCCGCTGCTCTGCATCCTGGGAACTGAAGTCCGCAAATGGAGAAAGTGAGGCACGGCGCCTGGCGCTGCAAAGGGTGGGTTCTTGCCACGTTCGGGGGCCGGAAGAGAGCTGGACGAGTCTCAGGTTTTCTAACTCCAAGACCCTTTCGTGCCGAAGGACTGTCGGTGTTCTCACGATCCCCAAAACATCTATCTAGAGTATCCCATCCCGTATTTAATTTTTCCCGAAAATCTTCTGAACCTGCCTCTCTCTCTCTCTTTCTAAAAAAAAAAAAAAAAAAAAAAGCTAAATACCCTACTATTTGGCTGGAATTTTGTTAATCTGGATAAGACCTTGGCAAGCGCTCGCACCCCAAGTCTGAATGATAGGGAAAATAGAATTACTTTTTCTGCATAGACTATACATGGAGTAAGCAGGTTGAGACAAATTAACTGTTTACTTGATACTTTATATCGTCTTAGCTTTTCTCACCAGCATTGGGGAATTTTCTCCATATTACAGATGAAAAGACTGAGGCTAAACTAAAGGAAATCAAGGAATCACCCTAAGAAATTAACCCATAATTCAAACCAAAGGCAACGTTTTCCCCGTAGATTAAAAAAAAAAAAATTAAGGGCCTGAAGATGAGATGGCCTGAAGGGAAAACAGAAGACCTGGTTCAACCCCTGAGGCCCACCTAGTGAAGGAGAGAACTGAGAACAAGTTGTCCCCTGACCTTCACACACCCATTGTGCCCCCCACACACACACACACAAACAATAATAAATCAGTGTAATTTTGAAAAGTTTTTTTTCTTAAGAGGAAAAAGTAGAAAGAAGCTGGCAAATTAGGTCTGAGGCAACGTTTGTGGGAAAAGCAGAGAATGGTTCATTCTGATGGAAATGCGCTGTATCCACAGGAATATAACCATTAGATACATGTAGCTATTGAGTACTTTGAAATGTTGGTAGGTGGTGCAACTCAGTAACTTAATTATAACTATGTTAAACTTAGTCACGTGTGACCTTCCATGTTGGTTAGTGCCGATCCGGCCACGGCTGTAGGAGGGATCAGTAGCAGACACATCCTGCTATCCATACATTGGCATCATGATTTGTAGTCTCAACAATGAACCACTAAACCCCATTTCAGCAATTTTTTTTTTAAGAAGAAACTTCTAAATGATCCCAAGCTGTAGAAGAACAAGTTTAACTAAAATTGAAAACTAGAAGGCACCTCTCTGCTGCCTGTACCCAAAAAGGAAAAGCAGACCTCACTAAAAGATACTAGTACTGACTGGTTAATCTATGATGTACTATCCTGAACATTATGTATATTACCTCAATTCTCACATTTTTGTTTTAAGACAAGGTCGTATTATGTAACCCTGACCCACCAGGACTCTGCCATCTAGACAAGGCTATCCTCTAACTCAATCCATGTTGTTTCTGCCCCCTGTGCTCTGGAATTAAAGACATGTGCTACACCTGGCCCCTCATTTCTCACTTTAATCCTCTGAAACCGACTTAAAACTTTTAGTTATATGTGTATTTGTATGTATCCTTGTGAGTTTGTGTACTACATTAATGCATGAGCCTCCAGAGGCCCGAAGAGGACATTGGAGCCCCTAGAACAGGCGCTTGGGAGCCACTATGTGGGGCTGGGAACCAAACCTCTGCAAAAGCATTAAGCACCATTAACCACTGAACTCCAAGCTTTTTTTTCTTTCTTTCTTTCTTTCTTTTTTTTTTTTTTTATTTACACATACATGTACCTGAGGTTAGGGCCACCCCTTGAAGCTGGAATTACAAGCAGTTGTAAGCTGCCTAGTGTGAGTGCTGGGAATTGAACTTGGGTCCATTTGTAAGACAAATACATGTTCTTAACCACTGAAGCATCTCTCCAGCCCCAAGGCTTCTTTTTAATATAAAGTCTTAACCCGAGTTTGGCACTGCAGTCCTATGAAGGCCTATAATATGAAGGCCGGAGTTAAATGGGCTCAGGAGGTAAAGTAGTTTGCTACCAAGCCTGTTTGATCCCCAGGACAGTGGATGGAGAGCATTAATTCCTGAAAGTTGTTCTCTGATCTCCACAATGCACCACAGCATGTTTTACACACAGACACACACAATCCTACCAAAAGGACAACAAAAACAATTTTTAAAAAAAATAGCAGGCTTGGTGGCACCGATCTGTAAGTCCAGCTACTGGGAGGATTAACAGCACCGAAAGGGTCAACGCCTGCCTAGGCGATTTAGGGAGACCCTATTTCAGTATATTCAGAGGCTGAATGATTGCTCAGCGGTTAAAAACACACACTGCTTGATCTTCCAGCTGACCTAGATTTGGTTCCCAGAACCTTCTAGGAGGCTCACAACCATCCATAACTCCATTTCCAAGAGATCTGATGCCCTTTTCTGGCTTCAGAAGGCACAATACGTGAGTGGTGCACAGGTGTGCATGTAGACAAAACACCCATAAATAAATCTTTTTTGTTGTTTGTTTGGTTGTTTTTATTTGTTTTTTCAAAACATAGTTTCTCTGTGTAGCCCTGGCTGTCCTAGAACTCACTCTGTAGACCAGACTGGCCTCAGAGATCTACCTGCTTCTACCTCCCAAATGCTGGAATTAAAGGCATGCACCACCACCACCACCCAGCTAAAAATAAATATTAAAAAAAAAAAAA